TTCTATATACAAGGACATTACAAGGCTTATTGCTAAAAATGTTGTTATTTTTAGTGGGTACACGTATTTGAGTTACTAATTAATACTTGTATTAATATAGACATTTATAAATTTTCTTAAGACTGTTCTTTAATGTGTAATTCTATTTTAGTGTGGGTGAAATATTATAAAATAAAATTTATACTGCTTCTGTCCTATAATAATTATTATATTTAGAGGAACAAATGATACAGGGAGCACAATAACACCACTGGATAGAGCAAGTTTTCAGCTACAAAAAAATATTTGTCTACATAGTTGACAAGTGGTTATTCATTTTTGTCAAAGAACAATTGATGAGGAATTTGCATATTGACATTCAATTGATTATCATTTTGATTCTGGTTCTTCAAAGCAAAGCCACATTTCATTACTGGTGATGAAGCAACCTAAGAAACAGTCATCTTCAGCTTTGTAGTAATAGAAACAGGTCCCGACAGAAATGCATTCAGTAGTCTGTACCTTTTTTTTTTTAGGGGAGTATTCTTGGGACAGTGTTTGGCAACACTGTTTCCAATGCATAGAAGCCATCATTCAGCTTTGAACATGGTTTCCTGGTCAAAATCCACAAATCAGCTAATCGGAGCACTCTTCATTTTGTAGGTTGACAGGTTGAGTTTGACTCTTCATTTGTGCAGGATTACCTTCTGAAATGGGGTATCACACATACACATTACTATTACCTTCAAAGAAATGCATTACCCACTGACTGACTGTGCTCACACCACTATTTGGTCTATGTAAGCATTCAACAAGCATTGACAGTACAATTTTTTCCACAAGGTAGAATTTAAAAACACACCTCTACTTTGTATGTATATTTATGTTGGATGGTATTTTGCCATATTGAAAATCAGATATTTATAACAAGAGGGGTGCTGGTGGATAGGTTTAACATTTACTGCAATAGTATCAACATCTACCTTTGATATCAATGACCAACATAAAATAAGATGCATAACTTTTGAAATAACTTGTATATAAAATGTGCATGTAATTTTAACTATTATGGAGACAATTGCTAAAACTTAAACATGGTTTGGTATTTTTCAATAAAGGGATATGTGTACAGTATTTACATTAGTCGAACTATTGTCCTCATCTTTGTTGCCATATTTGTCACAACGTTTCGGCCGTTGTATGCTCCGGCCTTCTTCAGGTGGTTGGAATTTCGAACTGAACCCTTTATTTTGATCACTTGGGTAGACTGTTCTAGTTCCACGTGCCATGTTTGATGGATGTCAGTTATCAGTTATCTCCTGCTAATTTTCCCTCTGAAATTTCTCCACTGCCTTAACCAGGAATTGAACTCACCTTCTTTGGGTCTGTCAACGCGTTTATCCACATGTGTCCTTGAGGACATCTGGGTATGAACTTCTGTGTATTATAAACCTAATGTTTTCAGCATCATTTTTACCAGTGCTCATATTGCAATTTTGCTGTTATCATTGCATGTCTTTACCAGAGTTCATATTGCAACTTTGTTATCATTGCTTTTCTCTGGCACTCCTTATTACTGGTTCCCATATTGTATTTATTTCTATGCTTGGTCGGCTCAGGAGATTTTTGTGGCCTAGCATATGTGCTGATTCCTTAAGTTTACGAATTTTCCAATGGTGTTCCCTGTCTATGATCTCAACATGATCCCACAGAGGGCGGTGATCTCCCTTCTCTCTCCATATGTGGTCAGCCACGCCTGATTTTTCTACTTCCCCTCGCGTTACAGCTTTCTGGTGTTTTTGAAGCCTTACCTTAAGGGGGCGGCCTGTCTCTCCTTTATATTCCTTTCCGCAGCTGCACGGGATAGCGTACACACAGTCTTTAGTCATGTTCCTCTCTATGGGGGGTCTCACTCGTGAGAGATACCCATGAAGTGTTGTCACGCTTTTGAAGGTTGTCCTGATGTTATATGGACCGTAGATCCTTTGTATTTTCTCTGATAACCCCTTCACATAAGGCAGGCAGACTGTTTTCTGAGTGTTGTTGTCCTCCTCCTCCTCTTGTACCCGCCTATCCCAGTTTTTGGGGGCTGCTGCCATGTACCCAGGGTAGTTGTTACGTTGTAGGGTACAACTTATACTGACCAATTCCTTATCTAACGTCTCTGGATCGCCACTTATGACTTTTGCTCGGTGTTGTAAGCATCGAACGATCCCTTTCTTTACGTTGTATGGATGGTGGGAGTCGAAATTGAGGTACTGTCCGGTGAATGTTGGTTTACGGTATACGGATGGCTTGAACCCATTCTCTGTTCGAGATATTAGTACATCCAGGAATGGGAGTGAGTTGTTACTCACTTTCTCCATTGTGAACTGTATCGAAGGTCTTATTGAGTTCACATGGTCCAGTAGAACCTGGACATCTTCCTGATGTGGCCAGAGTATGAAGGTGTCATCTACGTACCTTAACCATATAGTTGGCTTTAGCGATATCGACTCTAATGCCATTTCTTCAACATATTCCATGTATATATTCGCCATTGCTGATGATAATGGCGAGCCCATTGCTAAGCCCTCATCCTGTCGATATATGTGAGATCCCATTCCGAAGTGTGTTGTTTGTGTACAGAAAGTCAACATCTCCATCAGATTATCTATTGGAATACTGGTCTGCTCCTCTAGGGAAGAGTCAGAGGCCAATCTATCTCTGACTACTGAGAGTGCCTCCTCTGTGGGTACCTTGGTGAACAGACTCACCACGTTCAAGCTCACCATCTGGTTGGATAGGATGGGAGCATCTTTGATTATTTCCACGAAGTGGGCGGAGTTTCGAACATATGAAGGAGACTTTCCGATCAATGGGTCAATTATATCTACAAGGAAGCGACTCAGAGGGTGGCACACAGAGCCTTGGCAACTAACAATTGGCCTGAGTGGAATACAGTCTTTGTGAATCTTAGGGAGACCGTATATGTGAGGTAACTTGGTGTAACGCTGCGATAACTGCCTATAGGTCTTGGGTGCGAAGTGATCCTTGTTCTTGATTAGGATCTGTGACAGTTTGCGTTCCGTTTTCATAGTAGGATCTTTCTTCACTATGCTGTAGCTGCCATTGCTAATGAGGTCTTCCAGTTTTCTTGTATAGTCCGATTTGTCCATCACTACAGTCGCATTACCTTTGTCAGCTGGTAGTATGATGATGTTTTCATTCCTCTGTAGTGATTCAATCGCCAGTCTCTCCAGTTTTGTTATGTTAGACCTGGGCAGCTTGGCTCTCTCCAAGGCCTGTCTCACTTTCCATCTCATTTCATCTGCCTGAGCCTGAGGGATGTTCAAGGCTACCTCCTCTACTCTGGCAATGATGTCCAAATATGGCACCCGCCTGATGGTTGTGGCGAAGTTGAGACCCTTATTCAATACTGACTCCTCAGAGGCACTCAGCTGATATTGGCTGGTGTTGACTACTGCTTTCACTGGTGGGTGATGGACCTTGTGCGTCACCTTCTGATCTTTCAATCTATTTAATTTTTGCACTTGGCGAACTTTGACTCCATCAACTTCAAACAGTCTACCCCAGTGATCGAAATAAAGGGTTCAGTTCGAAATTCCAACCACCTGAAGAAGGCCAGAGCGTACAACGGCCAAAACATTGTGACAAATATGGCGACAAAGATGAGGACAATAGTCCGACTAATGTAAATACTGTACATAATACCTCATCTCAGAAATATAGACAGACTCTAAAGGGATATGTGTGTGTGTGCGTGTGTGTGTATGTATCTGTGCGTGTGCGTTGTAATGGAAAGTGGTGTGGAATGAGAAATACAGTCAAGTTAATTACATTCACTTATGTGTAAATACACTTGGGAAAGGTATGAATCCATCTCCTCCTCACTCCAGCTATGGGTTAAATAATAGGACAAACTTGATTCTTTATCCTTTGTTGGCAAACAGTCTAGAAGGAGGACAATTCTGAATTCAGAATGTAAGGAGGACTGTTTTGGGACACTGCAGCATGCTAAGTATACCAGTTCTCTGTAATCGGTTATTCTGAGAAGTGTGAATGATCCTGCACAAGGGTTCACCATGATAATCAAATTATATGTGCTGATAGTCTGAATGTTCAGTTCTAGGGTTGGACACTTAATATGTCAAAGATGATGGAAAAGTCCAAACTCATTTTCAAGCACAATAGCTTGAAAAACTAGGGTGGCTAGTCATTCCTGTGGAAGATGATGCATGCTCGGACACACTTGTGTTTGTTCCACACCCACAGAATCCACCTGTGGTTTATACTATCCTGCAACTATCCTGAGAAGATCTTAATTTGAAAATCTGGAATAAAGTGTGTAATCTGGCATGATCAGCAGTTTGCATGAGACCAGTATGCTTAAACCCTCAGTCAAGATGATTTGCAACTGTGTTAGCACAACCAATGACTGCTTCCGAACTGTTTCGCCTACCCACTTTCTTTCACAAGGATTGGGTCAATTTATAGTTTTCAGGTACTTTCCAAACGTATCACACATTGACACTATCTCCACAGGCCGATAATATCAAGAAGTCACCATCCCGAGATTCAAATGTGGATCTCACAGTTGAAAAGTAAACATTCTAACCACACTGCTATATATATATATATATATATATATTGGAAGGCTTTGGTTTGGTTTGGTTTGGTTTATTTTGTTTTGCAGCATATCAACCTCAATGGGTTATTTAATGCTGACAACATTTTTTATTGCTGGTAATAATTTTTTTCAAAAAAGTATTGCTAATAATAGTTAACTGTTTGCCCATAGCTGGGACCCTAGCAGGTGCTACCACCCCAGGTCAGGGTGGACCTGGGAACACCAGCAATTAAGAGGTGGTTCCATGCTCCTCAAAACCTCCTGATCAGAGGCCTTGCTGCTGGATGTAGTTTATCGTCTTACCCAGGACGCGGATGTAGTTTAACGTCTTACCCAGGATGATAAGTGTGGAAGGGAATGTGGACCCAATGCAACAAGCTGTATAACTTACCTGGTCCTGAAGTATTGATAGTTTTGCGCATATCTTCCAACTGTTCCACGGGACAGTCTAAAACTGCCACACCTGCACCAGCTCGACAAACTTCAACATCAGCCATCATCTCCCACCTGGAAAGAAAATAAAACAACAACATATATCTACATTTATCTTTAATTAATGTTTCAAATGCATGCACTAAAATCATGAATAGCATTAGAATTTCAGTAAAATATGATTCAGTCAAAATAAAATTGACATTGAACAAGAACCTTAAATGATATCATATTTGAACAATTTCAGCTGATTATAGGAAGCCTGCTGCTTATTCAAACATGACAACTGGAAAATTATATATATATATATATATATATATATACACACACACACACACACACACAGTGACAAACCTCTCAACAACAAACTAATAGGGAGATAGGGTGGTCTGTTAAATCTGATTGTCCGTAGATGGGAAGGGGTTATTTTTTAATCATAAAACCACTATAATAACTACCAATAGCTATGACCATAATGTAAATACTATAAACATGTAACTATGGCATAAATAAATATATATGTAATATATATATATATATATATATATATATATATATATATATATATATATATATATATATATACACACACACACACAGAGTATAAATGCCCTTTAGGGTGATACTGAGTCTGTATATAAAGATAAACCTCTCAACACTGGACTAATGGACTAATGGGTAATTGTGGTCCATTAAAGCCAATGTGTCTGTAGATGGGAAGGGATTATTTTTGAGTTATAAAACCACTATATTAACTACCAATAGTTATGATCATAATGTAAATACTATAAACATGTATATATGGCATAAATAAATATATACTTAATATAGATATATTAATCAAAATAATACAATATTTCTCACAGCTACTTTCTCATGGATGTGCTAATACTTTATATACTATACACCAGTCTTTGTTTAAAGATTGAAAGGCCAGCCATTGCAGCCAAGTGGTCACTTTGAGAACTAATATGACATGTTCTGCAAATTTTGAAATGCATCACTGATGATTTGGGAGTTTTTTTTCCTGCAGATTTTTTTTATTTTTCCTGCAGATTTTGTGCATTGCATCTGAGATCCATTGATGAGAGATTTGTCTATATATATATATATATTAGAGAGAGAGAGAGAGAGACAAGAGGAAAAACTATTCCTAACCAACATGTTTTGTCCTCTGAGGGATTTTATAATGCAATGTAAGATTTTTTTTTCCCCACAAATTTACATACAAAAGCAAGGATGACATAAGTTTACCAAGGCTTTTAAATTTGAGAACGTTCATGAATGTTCATCAGGTGGCCAAAAGGTCAATCAAAACATGCGGATGACACAAAGTGTCATAATTCAAAGTTTGGCAAAAAGTAAGCGAGTAATATTCAAGAATCTTTTATTTTTTTAAATAAATATTGATTAGATTGTTGTAGCATAAGATGGATATAAGTGCAGTACATCTTCAAAAACAAAAGGTAATAAATTTAATCGTTTTCTTTTGATTTTTCAACATATTTGTAGTTGTGTATGTTAGCTTGGGAGAGTACTAATTCTTTCAGGAAAGGTGAGATTGGGGGAAAAAATTTGTTCCTCCACAGATACACACTATCTGACAATATTTACATATATATTTATATATAATTAAGATGTGATGGGTATCTTTAAATTCTTCATTTAATGCTACACCAAAGGAGACATGTTAGCTTATAAACCGCCTGTCGATTAGTCTCTATTTTAGCATCCCGATACCACCTTCTTATTAATGTTGAATTTTGTACAAATCTGTGCAAAAAGTGGATCAAGAGCTTACTCAGCTTCATACATATTTTCAGGAAATCTCAACTTTAATTGGTCAATAAACACACAAGTGGGCATCGCAATTCACCCACGTACATGTCTTTTTCCAGCACGTGACCAAGTCAAGTTTTCCCACTCTTTTTCCAGGAGCCTGTCACGTGGTTACAGTAATTATAAATATCAGACATGAGTTCGTTCTCTTCCTTCCTTGATTTCTCTCACTATAAAATGGAGTTGTAAAAAGGATTTGCATCTTGACTACGTGTGGTGAGATGCTTCTGAAAACATATTCACACATGCATGCAAGTAGGAAATTTTCCAAACTACATTACAAACATACGAAACATTTCCAAACCAGCAACAAGAAATTTCACTTTAAAATACTCTGATCAAGCTTTCGCACACATCTTTACAAAACAAAATTGTAACATTCTGCATATAAAAAATATATATGTTGCACCAAAGCTATTCTTTTTGTCGTAATTGAATATCGTTATCATTTGATATTTTATTTAAATTTATGTTTGTGGACGTTGCGTGTTTTATTTACAGCACAACTTTAAATATTCATGCAGCCTTCCTAGATCCACTACACTATCATAAAAAAACAGTTCTTTCATACAAATGACAAACTTGCTGTAATTTGATGCTCTAAAATCTTGTGTAAATAAACTGATATTGAAGAACTTAAAACAAACTTACTTTCCGACACTTGGATCAAATGCTTCCACAGAATTCAAGTAACTGGACCCATCATGTCCACCGACAGCAAATATTTTGCCACCCAAGGTTGCCACACCTACACCCCCACGACAACAGGACATTGAAGGCATTAACGTCCAGATATCTGTCACAGGATCATAGCGCTCCATTGAATGAAGAGGTGCATTATCATCGAAACCACCTACAAAACATTTATATATTTATCAAGACAGCTTTTCATAACATCACAATTAAAAGGGGAAAATATATAAATCAACATTGATATTAATAAAATAAACTATTATTGCACTTTCAGATGTAAACTGTTTGGAGTTCATTTTGTTGCTGTAAAAAAATATGTTTAAATCAAGACATTTTTTTTTTGTCTTTTACAGGATTAAAAATACTGCTTTGTTATTTACAAGCCAATCAAGATTATGATTCTTACTTTCAACGCAACCAATTCCTTTGACCAGATGAACATTACAAAAGGTGGCGATATGGTAAAGTAATGGATAATGATAATAATGGTGTCCTAAATTTCCAGGAACCAGTAATCTTTAGGAACCTATTCTACTTATTTTTTTTTTCAATCTGAGAATGAAAACTTTATAGTATCAAAAAGAATTAAATCATTTTGATAATTTAATAGAAAACATTTATTTATTAAGATATATAAAGATTGAAATTCTGTTCTCATCATATTTCTGTTCAAAATTATAATGCTTTTTGATTCTAGTGTCATCAGATATGTTATGCTTTCTTAGCCACATTCGAACTGAATCACTGCAGTCCCAAAGATCCAATGGAAGTCCTATCAAATTTATGACTAGGAGATTTGCCACATTTTTAACTTCAAGATGATTTCTTTTGTTAGAATAAATTATGCTCATCACAGAAAATCCTCTTTCAGTCTGTGCAGAAATTACAGCATTAACTATTTAGCTATTACATATTGGCTATTAATATATAAGATTATTTTTGGATAATCCAACAACTTGTTCACTAAGCTTTTATAATTTTAAGAATCAGTTTGCACAAACTGGTACAATGCCACCACTGGATATCAGCTTGAATTGAGGAATCAAAGAACAGAGTTTGAATTTCAGTCAACTTCATTATATTCACTTACATGCAAATACCCTTGAGAAAGGCATGAATCCATCTCTTCTCCCTCCAGCTATGGGTAAAACACCAGGACTGTGTTCTATAGCCTTGGGTGGCAACCAATTAGGAGGAGGACAACTCTAAATTCAAAACCATATGTAGTCCTGGCAAAGCACATACTATACAGCTAATGAAAGGATCATGAAGTGTACAATGACTATGATCCCATGAAAATGTTAAATTAAATGCTTCACTTCAGCCAAAAAATTGAAAAAGAAATTTGAAGGAAGATAACTTTTATATCTGATTAGTGCTTTTTAAATTATATATCATTTAAAAAATACACCTGTTATTTCATTTACAATAATAAATAACTAATTTGAATACTAAAATAAATAAAAAGAATTACCAATAAAATCAAGGTCAAATAGTTTAAATAGACTTTATCAGTCAAATTGTTATTCATTTTATTGTTTAATATTTTAAATTTATCAACAACTCTTTCATAAGAGTTGATTGAAAAGCTGACTGCCTAAGAGGAATTGAACCACATTTTGCTTTTTACAGGTTATTTCAATATGTTTCCATATTTTTAATCTATATTTAAGTTTTGTACTGATAATGCTCTTTTCTTATCACAAATTCATTACTAAAATCTTCATTTGTGTAATAATGTTGTTTAATATTGCTATATTCTATGAATATTTAAAAAGAAAGAAAGAAAAGAGTCAAAGTAAGAAAGAAAAGAGAAAAAACAAGCAAGAAAGAAAAACTTACTTAAATATATTTACATTATCCAAAATAAAGTAAATATTTAAAAAAAGAATTTCTATATGAATTCATATTCTTTTTATTTAATATTTACATTTTAATTCTTTTATTTTCATATGCTGTTGCAACAAAAGGATAATTCATTTCTTGGTGTTAACTGATTTCCACATTAAACAAACTGATTAGTTTTTGTGAATAAACCATTATCATAATTAAACAACAGTCAATTTGGTGTAAATTAGTAAGGGTAATTTTTAATGGTACTTAATTTTAAAAACACTAATGAGATATAAGAGTTATCTCCCTTAAAAGATCTTGATTTTTTTTTTCAGTAAGTGGCCCATTTCACAAAGTGATGATATGATTTAACACTTTCAGTGAAGTCAGTTCTCAGGCAAATGAAATTTACTGTTCTGTACAGGACCCAAAGAAAACAGCTTTCTAATTCATCATTGGCAACTTCTATCTGTTCATGAACTATCTCTTTTTGAACTTCTTCCTTTTCACTCGCTTTATCCGTATAAACAATTGATAAGGATAAATTTGAATTACTTACATATTTTTGATCTTTCACATAATAACTACAAATAATGACAAAAGGTATCCTGCAGAAAAAAAACCTTGGTTGCCTCCCTTTGCAAAGAAACAAAGAAAATAAAAATGATAAAATCTGATTGGCTAAGAATAAAATTCAGGTATGAAGGAAGCAGGGAATGTATACCTTTATACAATTGCCAGCTTCATATTTTAGCTTAACTTTTTTCAGATGAACCATCCAGAACTAATCAGTCAAGCACATTCATTAATTGCATTGCATGATATGAGAAGTTTTCTGTTGGCTGACAAAATGTAAAAGAAGCAAATTTATTTTTTTAATGTCATTGTTTCATTAGAATTGTTGGATGATTCAGAGACAGAATTGTTACATTTTATTACAAGTTACTCTTCAATAGTTACATTTGTAACATATTTTGAACTTTTCTGCAATTTCATTGCATTCACTTCCCACATAATGTGGATATTCAAGAGTAAAATTAACTACCATATAGTTTAACATTAAACCTTAATCATATATATCACATATAGTGCTCAATGTAATATAACAGAACTATGAAGTATATATTAATAAATATATTATCCCTCACCACTAACATAACTCTGAGTTTTATATATATATATATATATATATATATATAAAATATGTGTGTGTGAAGATATAAATAAAATGTACCTGTAAAAAGACACTGAATAAACATTAAATTTTTAGAAAATTTTCAAATTTAAGAACACTCTTAAAATATTCTTAAAGTTTACTTATCTTTACTATTTATATTCCTATTTGTTTATATATATTTATTTTTTTATTTATTATATAATTATTATTGATTATTTTATTTTAATTAGATACATTATTTACGTATTTATTTTAAATAAGAGAAGGTCGTGAATTAACTGGATTGAAGAATATGTTATCCTAAGAAATTGTTGACCAGGTTATTTCTGGAAGATATTTTTTTAGGCAAGCAGTCTTTGTAATTCTAGTTTTCCATATTGAGGCATAAAGCATTAATTATTATGATAATAATAATAATAATAAATAAAATGGGTAATGAAGGAAGACTCAGTGTAAAAAGAGCAAGCAAAAAATTGAGGAGCATTTTAAAAGAACAAGATGAGATATAAACTTAAGCATGGTCAATGTAATGAGAACAATCTAATCCTGTAGATTGAATAAAGAGTTCAGTTTTGAAATTCCATGAATGTTACCAAAAGTGACAGACACCTGAAGAAAGATGGAATGTATAACATCCAAGACATTCTGATGATGACAAAGATGAGGATGTTAGCCAGAATGTAAATAATGATAACTCAAAAATTTAGACAGAAAATTTAAAAATAAACTCAGATTGGAAACAGTTAAGAGATTTATTTTATTGTTTTACGGTTTGATGTTGTTATAAGGTTGCTGTATTAAGAATATCTATCCTTTCTTCAATTTTTATAAGCATCAGTTACACTTTATAGTGATGTTTGTTACTAGGTACACATCTAAACTTAACATGTCAGATACAACAAAAAAACATTCGCAGTGTTTTAGATATACATCTGTACTTTTTTGTTGACAAAACTTCAAAAACGATTTTCAATTAAATTTTCAATAAAAGCTGTACAACCAAGTCAATGTGTCTATTTAAAGATGCACACACAAGAATTATTGATTGGTTGGTTAGTTGCTTTAGATTAGCAGCATATCAACCTCCATGGGTTATTTAATGCTGAAATCTAAATATTTTGTATTCAATTTTATTTTATTTTTGGAGATAATAATAGTTTAACAATAAAAACCCTACTAATTAACACATAGCTTAATGGGGAGAATCAGTGGATTCCTACATTTTCTAATGGTATTTACACATATGTGAATATAACAAACCCAACTGGAATTGGAACTTGGCTCTCTGATTAAAAATTCCAAACCATTATCCATTACACCATCTGCAAATCCAAGCTTATAGCACCTGGTATATCCAAGCAATCACCCATCTAGGTATTGACCAGGCTCAACGTTATCTCAGTGATAGTCGTGGAACCGATATTTTAATATGATGTTGCCATAAGCCTTATAGGATTATTTAATTTAAATTAATTCTATGACATACCAACAGCATACACCATTCCATTGAGTACAGTAACACCTGCGCCAGCTCTTCTCTTCTTCATATTGGCAATTGGAGCCCATTTATTAGTCAAAGGGTCATAACGCTCACAACTATCCAGTGATGTTGAACCATCATTGCCACCAACAGCATACAAAAAACCCTGGAATGAAAAGAAAAATGATGAAGAAAATGCACACCATCAGAAAATACAGGAAAAAAAATTATGTCTAGTAAACAAAAGAATTAAAGCAGTGAAGTTTTGCCTAAATTCATAGATATTTCTCGGGAATTATATATTACACGTGATTTTAGCAATTTCATAAAATTACAACAACAAGACACCTTAAAATAGCCAATAATTTTTTTTCTCTTTTAGTCACATGCTATAATGTACGGGACATAAATAAATAAAAAAAATTGTGAAGTTGTCTCCCTTAGATCAACTGTTGTATATGGTAATCTACCTTCAGTGCAGTGACTCCAACTCCACCACGCGGAATCTTCATAGACGACAAAAATGTCCATGTGTCAGTGGAAGGATCGTATCGTTCAACAGTGTTAAAACAGGACGCATCATCCAGGCCTCCTATGGCATAGATTGGACCTCCTAGGCAAGCTAGGGCTATACCTCGTCTGAAAACGAACAAAAAAGAAACAGTATAAAATGTTTTTTTATAAAAGTTTGGTTTAATACAAAATATTGATAACTCAGGCTTTAAATTTAACGTTTTTTTTTTATTCTAATTTTTTTTCTTTCTCATTTTCAAGATTGAATTCAAAGGGAGCATTTTTTAAAATTATTTTGACAGATTAATAATTTATAAAAAAAAATCTGAATTAGTAATAATTTATTGATCTACCTGAGTGTCCCCATGGGGGAAATATTAGACCATGTATTCGTGACTGGGTCAAAAACCTCTCCACTACTCAAATGTTTTGTTCCATCATGACCACCAATGGCATACAAATATCCTGAAAAAAGAATTTAGATAATTAACAGAAAAAAATAAGCTAAGTTCATTAGCAACAGATTAATAATGTTTACAAATTAATAAATTAACCACAGAGGAGCTGATTGTTTTCAATAGATAAATTAAGCATTTTCCATTCTCTGATTCCTTTCTTTTTCTATGAGTCATATCCCTTCAGGATGTGCTCAAAATCATGGCTCTCCACACTTCCTGTCCTTTGTAGCTCTTAGTAAGGTTTGTCTTTTTGATATCCCTGCTATTCCCAACCATTTACACTAACTTGTTAGGTTGGTTATTTACTGTTTCTTCTGTCCCTCTTGCCTTCAATATGTCATTGTGAGTGTCAAATTTTCCAAGCCCTCTTTCATCATTATGTGCCCTAGAGATTTCAACTGTCTTTTTCTGTTTCTTAGTAAAAGTATACTTTTTATCCTTTTTTCTTAAAACTTCTTTGTTACTCACATGTTCAGTCCATGGTATTCTCAGCATCCTTCTGTAAAACCACATCTGTTGCCTTAAGCCTCTTCATTTGTGAAGAGATTGGCCAACATTCACTGCCATATAGGAGGACTGATATTATGTAACAGTTCAGCATTAGGGACTTATATTTTGCTGAAAAGCATTCACCATTGAATACACTGTTCAGTCCAACAAAAGAAAAATGACAAAACGGAAATGTCAATAAAGTGGATTTTTGTTTTGAGATTTATCAGTGACTAATTCAGAATTGTGTTGCCTCTAATATGGTTTAGTTTTCAGCTGTGAGAAATAAAACTTACCTGATAGAAAGAAAGAAAGAAAGAAAGAGAAAAGAAAATAAAGAGCAAAAGAAGAGATAGATAGATAATGATCCAGATTTCTCACTTTGTTTCCACTACAAATACTTAGAGATTTACAGTTTCAAAAAGTTACATGAATGAAAATTATAGATTAAATAGTCCTTCATAGCTTACAAAATCTTTTTTCACTTTATTTGCATTTCATTTCTATCATGGGTAAAAAAAAAAAATAAATTAAACAATGAATTTACATAACAACAGCCCTATTCTTTCAGGTGTATACTTTTCTTAATTCATGACCCCTGACAATACCTTTTATTTTCAATGTTTTAGAGCTGCAACTTGCTAAAAAAAATGTTTGGTAAAAAAATATTAAAATGTTGCAAAATTCAGTGTTTAATCATAAAATCTCCCCCTTCCTCTCACCTAAAACATTGTTATAAGAATTACTTACTCTGGACAGAAAATTATCAAAGCAAAATAAAAGTGGTGGTGAGATAGAGAGAGAGAGCACAAACTTCACCAATGTATACCAAATTCAAATCCAGTCATGAACATTGTTTCATATGTTGACATTTGACAATACGTCAAACAAAAAAAGGCAAGGAAGGAAGCCTCCATCAATAATGGAATGTTAGTGAACTTGAGCAACCTATTTTCTTTCAAAATTGTTTTAAATGAAAAATATTATAAATTTGAACTGAAAGTAGCATTGGTTGCTAGGTCATTGAATGATCAATGTTTCCTTATAAGGAAACAGCTAATATTACCATTACAGATACTACACTTTAATCCCAACCTGACAGCCATGAAGTGAAGAAAAGCTTAACTCAACTATCTTAATCAATGTTTCCATTTTTTTCTTTCTTTTTTTTTTTTTCCTTAATGAAATTCACCCCAAGCAAGGCAGTAAAGCCATAAGGGGGTTATTGAATGTTAAAGAATTAAAAAACAAGCATTATTGAGGAGCAAGAACAATAGAAGAGTAATCAGGAAGACATTAAATAACGACTGACACTGCATTTAATTTTTTGAAAATCAAACTTAATTGGAAAGCAAAAAGCTGGAAAAGAGTTCCACAAGTGAGAAGTGTGAGAAAAGAAACTGTTAGCATAAAATCACAGTTATATCTAGTCAATTAAACTGTAAATAGATGAGACTGTGTTGCTAATCTAGTACTATGCTTAAATTTTTAGATTTTTACTATGCTTAATTTTTTTTAAAAGGAAACAGCTAATATTACCATTATTCATGAGAACAGATACTCCACTTTAATCCCACCCCGAGGGCCAAGGTGTGAAGAAAAGCCTAATGTGAGTAGCACAGGCTGCTTGGTCAATGAATGCTGAATGTTTTCTTTTATTCAGAGATAAATGAGAAGTTTAAACTTCGCATATATGACACTAGGTGATTTGTAGCCATTTGAAAAATAAAAGTGTTGTCTTCTATGCCTCAAATTCAGTAATCATCAAATGAATGAAAGTTTTTTGAAAAAGTTTTTTTTTGGTGATATTGCAGGTTACATAAGCAGCTGGTAAAAATGGAAAAATAGATTATCTTACCTGAAGCAGCACAAACACCAACATGTCGCCGTCGAGTATTCATCTCTGTGACTGGGAACCATTTATTTTTCCGATAATCATAGCACTCTATACTTTGGAATGGATCTCCAGCAGCTCCTCGGCCTCCCACACAAAACAATACACCTTTAAAAGAAGCAAAAGATTTCAAAAGATTACAAATGAAAAACTGAGAGTTAAAGAAAAATATTTCTGAAGACTAAAAAAATAAAATTTGAACACAGCATTTGCTTATCATTCCCTAAAAATATATATATATATATATATATATATATTATAATTATATATATATATATATATATATTTAAATTAAATTCTATCTAATATATAATAATATCTAATATAACCTACTGATAGATAAAATTTTACACAAGTCAGTCATACGAGTAACAAGAGTGTTGGCTTGTGGGGTTTTATTCCTAATTTCAGTTTGATAAAAACTAAGAATTTTTTCTTTAATTTTAAATCTAAAATATTGTTTTCTAGAAGAGAATACCACTTGTTTGATGTACAACTGATATTCAGCATGCCCAGATTAATTCCAATTTCTTTGTGTACTTTCAATTTGAAAAGTCTGATGTTATGTTCTAATTCCCTTATTGGCAAGAAGTTTAACTGATATTAAGTAATACCAAGAACTACACAAAAACACAGATTTAGTAGATGCTGTTTGCTTAACAAGCCATATACAGAACAAAAGTGTGTAAATGAAATAACATGGTAAATTGCTAAAAGAAACACGGCAGGTAATTTTGGTATTGGCTTTAAACTTGTATTTTTTTTTTTTTTTTAAATGTCAGAAGGTTTTTGAATTAAGGCAAGTGTACAATAGAAAGGAATCTCAAAATTTATTTTTAATTTGATCTGAATAAAATATTTTATTAAATTTTCATGACAACGGTAAGAACAGCTTCTGAAATGAGAATGTATGCAAGCATGTCCTTATAAAATGACATGTATATTACTCTTCAAAAGCCTATGTCTGCAAAAACTTATGAATACATGCACATCACTGCAAATATGTATTTTGGCTGCAGACATGTTTGTTTTCATTTGCTGAAGTCTGTATGGTAACAAAAAATGCAACATAATTTATGTTTGCATCACAGTGTTCTATACTACTAGCATAGAACACCACAGTTCACATTTTATTTTATGCCTAATTCAAAACCATTCTTTTTTTAATTTTCCTTGAGTTTAGTGAGAATTCAATATATTTCTCCTTAATAAGGACATGCAAAAAAGAAGTAGCAAATCTTGAAGATAAAATAAAAAAAAAATAAAAAAGAGACTGAGTGAAGTTTCCATAAACTTTGCTTGATAGTGAATATACAACCCTCACATAGCAACATTAAGATCACATGCCTCCATGATGGCAACTCCTATTATTTTAAGGCTCTTCAAAAGAGCTGTGTCTTTTGTTTCTTTTTTTCATTCAGTAACAAAAATGGCAGTTTGATTACAAAGGAAATCATGAGAATTCTTTTTTATTTTCCTCTCTCTCTCCATATTGTTCTTTAATGATAAGAAAAAATGTAGAAAGGAAAAGAATGAAAAAAAAAATGTTGAAAACCAAACGATATAACAGCCAATGATAAATACGAAATAGAAAGAATATAATTATATTTCTAAGAGAAATTACATATAAACTCTTTATAAACATAATTATTGTTCTTTTTCTCAAGAAAAAAATGCTCTTTTCATTTATTTAACATGACAAATCAGTCTAAAGTATTTTACAGCAAGTAAAACACACATTAAAGTCAACGATGAATTTCTGAAAATAGAAAGCATTGTAGGTTGGTTGTTTTCGGTTAATGGCATATCAACACCTCTATGGGTTATTTAATGCTGAAATCTAAATATTTTGTAAGCAATTTTTTTTTTGAGATGGTTTTAGTGATACAAGCCTTACTAATTAGCCCATAGCTGGGGGGAGAAGAGGTGGATTCATACCTTTCCCAAGTGTATTTGTGTTTAAGTGAACATAACGAACCTAACTGGAATTGGAACTTGGCTCTCTGATTAACAATTCCCAACAATTATCCATTATATCACCTGCACATCCAGCTTACAGTACCTGGTATTCCCAAGCAGTCACCCATCTAGGTACTGTCTGGTCTTGATCTTGCTTAACTTTGGTGATCATAGGGGAACCAATGTTTTAATGTGATATGTGCTGTAAGCCCCCAAAAGCATTGTGACAATCTCTCAACCAACAGGATCTTTTTAATTTACAATGAACATAAAAAAAAAAAAAATCAAAAAAAAATCACACCAAAAGTTAAAAAGCAGGTGAACATTTTTCTATAGAAAGGAAAAACACAAATTGTCATTGACAACACAAGAAAAGCTATAATATTATGAAAATAGAATCTCAAAGACTAAAAGTCCAACTCTAAGAAAACAAATTCTGAGGAACAGTCTATTAACAATGAGAGTGAAAACCACAAGAATCCAACTCTAGCCAAATTTTGACAGTAAATTATTGTGGAAAGAGAGAAAAAAAAAATGAAACTGGAATCATAGTTATATTTTATTGTCAGTTATATTTGAAGCAAGCAGAGAGTCAAAATTTAAGACACTGACTTTTCTATTCTTCCATTCTCCAACCAAACTTTGTTATTAAGTCTACTGGAAAGTTCTTTCCATTTTTAACAGAGATTTAGCAATTAACTCTTATTCCTTCTACTGATCAATCCCCCAAAAAATGTCATTGGATAATTTTTGCACCATTGTAGTCTTTGAGTTTCAACAAGGAAAAAAATATGATTCCAGAAATTTATATAAAGTGTTTAGAGATTATGCAGTGTCTAAAGGAAGCTGCAGAATGGTTCAGGGAATTCACACATGGTGATCTTAGTCTTAATGGTGAACTACATTCTAGATAACCTACAGAGGTTGGTGATGACATCATATGCAATATTTAGATAAAAGATCCTTCTTCAACCATTTCAAGAATAGCCAAGAAGTTGGATATTGGCCAAAAAACTATTCCAGATCATATTCAGAAAGTTGAGTTTGTTAAGAAATACACAAAATGAATGTCTTTTGAATTTGTCCAATAAAAAAAAAAAAAAAAAAAAAAAAAAAAATCGCCCAGATTGTACCTCCATTTGTTGTTTAGTGGCATATCAACTCCTTAGTGGTCATTTCATGCCAAAATTTAATTTCCTTGTAAACATTAGTAATTTCTTTTGCAAAATTGTATTGCTGGTAATTTTTTATGATAAAAATGTATTGCTGGTATCTTTACTATCTACATATATTTTTATACTTTCATGTTGTTTTGAGCCCAGTTTGGAGGTTAACTATTTCCACATAGTTGGGACCTGACAGGCACTACCACTCCAGGTCAAAGTGGACCTGGGAACAACAGCAATTAAGAGGTGGTTCCACGCTCCTCAATACCTCCTGATCAGAGGCCTTGTTGCCGGATGCAGTTTATGATCATACCAAGGATAAATAGAATTGTTTCTGAAAATTAAAAATGGATAACTTACTACCCAAAGAATGTTATGTTCTCTCTCTCTCTCTCTCTATATATATATATATATAGGATATCAAGGGATCTATTCAGTGCAAGCTTTTTTTAAAATAAAATGCGAATATCGTCTCCAAAAAATACTGCAAGCTTCTTGATAAAGTTGACAGGAAAATAAACAAAACACATCCAGCCCCTTTCAAAAGGGAAGAGATGCCATTCTCCAGTATGACATTTGTGAGGCCTCATGTTTCTTTGGCAACCCAGAAAAAAAAAATAGCAGACTTAGCACTTTCTGATTTTCATTTATTCTTTACATTCAAATTATTTAGATGGGAAAACATTTGTTAATAGATGAAGAGGTATAAAGTTTGGTGGTAGCTTTTTTTTCAACATTGAAGATGAGACATTTTTACAGGTGATTTGTTTAACAGCATATCAACTCCTTATGGGTCATTAAATATCAAAATTCTCGGGAGCTTTGAAATAATAAAAATATGATGTTATTCTGATTTCACAATTGAGTACATGGTAGATAATACTCAGCTTTTGTGCATGTGTTTGTGTGGACATAATTACTAGAGGCAGTGGTATGTGTTTTATGTTTTAGTTTTGTTGAAGTTATATTTTAAAATTTTTTATTTCTTTAAAAAATTATAGGATATTATATAGATTAATGCCATAAAAGTGTTCTTTCATGTTGATTGATGTATTGGTGGTAATTTTTATATAAAAATGTATTGCTGGTATTTTTATATTTTCATAGAGTTTTCTTTTTGTTTGGTGGGGTAAATATTTGCCCATAGCTGGGACCCTAACAGCTGCTACCACTCTGGAGCTGGGAACAACAGCAATTAAGAGCTGCTTCCTCAAAGCCTCCAATCTCTTGATCAGAGGCCCTTGCTGACTGATGTAGTTTATCATTATACTCAGGACTGTACAGGTGAAGCATTGAAAAGTTTCCTCCATGTTGGAAAGAGGTGTTAAACAGTAATGGTGATTAAGTTAAAAACAAAGTAAATAAAATATTACAAATTAGTCTTCTTTTTCAATTTAAAAAAAGTATTTTCAGTACTAATAGACTAAATTATTTTAATAGTCTTTTTTTTTTCTTTTTTTGTTTTAGTAAGTTCTCAACACTCAAGCTGAATGCTGTACATTGGAAATTACTAATAGATTCTCAGTAATTATGGCAAACATTATTGACAGGATTATTATATGCATGATTTATTATCTACTTTTTATATAGATATCATAGTGAATGATTTCATTTCCCTTTGAGCCCAGCATTAAAAATGCAAAGAGACAATTTATAAGTATTTTAAAAACAATCATTCTGAACAAGCAATCAATAGTACTTTTCATTCTTGTGCGTAGAATTATGTAAACAGCTTAAAAACATCTTCTCTAATAATCAGTTCTTGAAAAAGAAGATTTCAACCAATACATCATTATTTGTAGAGATTATAAAAATATTAAAGCTTTGTTATTAAATATAACCAGAAATATAATAAAATAATAATGTCACATAAAAATGGTAATATTTTATTATTTAATAAAGTGATTTGCTTGGTATCTGATTTGAAAATATATCAAATCAAAATTTAAGCAAGTTATTGTAATCCAAACTGAGTTTGATCAGGTAGAAAGTAGGTCATCATTGGCTTGAAACATTAAACCTTCTTTGTACATCAAGGAATGATGTGACAAATGAAATTTAATCAGGAGAAAGTGATTGCTTTCTTTAGAACATTTAGTGTACAGACAAGCAGTTAGATCAATTAAAACAAACGTCTGTTAGTAATGTAATGAATAGGAAACCAAAGAAAAAGATGGTAGACAAGAAAATAAGAACAGATGGCAAACTAGAGATGTGAACCATTTTGCTCTTGCAGTATTTGCTTAATGCAACTATCAGCTTCTGTTAAGCCATAGGCAAGGCTCTTCTTCAATTAAAAATAGATGAAGACAAAGCAACTCATGCCTCAACTAATTCTCATCACATGAAATTGCCAGAGTATATCTGTCTGCCACTACAAACAATAAAAAGCACTTATTCTAAATTTACAATGCAAATGAAACTTATATATATATATATATATATATATATATATATATATATATATGAGAGAATGAGAGACAATCAAATTATTGTAAAAGAGAAAAATAACAAAGCAACTGAAAGGTGTAACCATATAGTTGTCTTGCAATCAAGAAGTAGTTAAGCTATCACAGGTGTTTAATTACTTATATAAATCAAAAGTAATTTTGTTACATAACTAAAATCCATGCTCATCTGTTGACATGATTACTGTTAAATGTTAGACGGCTTAATAGGTTTCAGAAATATATGCAGAGAATTTTGGAACATTTTAAATGCTTCTAATAAGCTTAAAATTACTCCATTCATTTATCAAAAATGTGTGTGTGCATTTGATTTTAGTCAAGAAAGTCAGGTGAAAAGTGGTTCTGCATTATAAATATTCTTGATAGAAAACTTGCAGGTCTCTTATTCTGTAGACAGATAAATAATTTCTTAAAATTTACAAAAACAAAATATGTAAATCAGAATTGTAAATGTTTCATGTTTTCAACTTAAAATAGACTTTATAACACTGGAGAACATACAACATTTAAAAATTTTTCAGAGTTTCAAATCAGGACATAAATTTGATTGAAATATTTCTAAACTCTGTGTGTGTGTGTGTGTACAGTAGAATCTAATATGAAGTAAAAGTACAAAAATTAAATTTTTTCAAATTCTACAGATTTGATCATTACAAAAAATGCAGTAGAGAATGAAAATGTATATAGACATGTAAATTAAATTAAAAATATTATCTTAATAGAGAAAATTAACTCAATTTGTAGAGGCTATGGCTTTTAATTATTTCTACACATCTTCAAGCATAAGAATTCACTAATTTGTATTCAGGCATAATTCTGCTTTGTTCTTCCTACAGTTTTACAGTAGATGTGTGTGTGGATCCATCTCCTTGCCCCAGCTATGGGTTAAATAGTAGGACTTGTATCTGGAAAAATCATTGTTATTCTAAAATAATGTAATATTCACTCACAAAAAAAGAGTATTATTTTTACAATCCAAAACATGTTTTGGTTTTAAATAAGCTACAAAAGGTTGATAAGCCATAAAAAAAAATCAAATCAATCAATCCTGCAGTTTTCACAAATCATCCACTGTCATTGGTTTTCTTATCCTAACATTATCACTGATGATTTTCCAAAGAAAATTCTAAGTTCGATTCAGACCTACACTTTCGATGTGGGTCATTTTCAGTTTCAAAAGAATTGTTTTACCATTTCTTTTACAGTATGACAAGAGGAATTATCTTGAATAAAATTGGGCTCACAGACAGAAGATATTTTGAGAAAAGGAAGAATGAATACTGTTAAAATACTTATTTACTGTAGTATTTACTATGACATGTGACCAAATGAGAAGGCCAATACCAGTGCCAGGAAAACATTCCCCCATGCCAATACACTACCACATTCAAATTCAATTCTTTCTCCTCATTCAAATGCCATCTTGTTTACAATCAGAGCCAATCAAATGAAACTTAATTGCAGAACACATTTAACCAAAGTAACATGTTCATTTACAAAATCTTGTCTAGTTTTTTTGTTCTTTTTGCTCATGAAAAATTTGACAACAAAAATTGCA